TGTCCCACTGGCACACATTTCCAAGTGCTGAAAATAAGACCCAAGATGAGAGATTACATTAGTTGGAGCATATGTTACTTTCTTTTGGCTTGTCAGGAGTTGGGTGTTCTGGATTTTGGTTTGTTGTTTGACTATGAATAGATTAAAATTTCTTCTTTTCTAATATCTACAACATGTTAACTTTCGTGGTATCCAGGTTTTCCTTATCAGTAAATCTAGTTATAGCTTCATAGTAAGATCACGATGCTAAAATAAAGCAGGTGTACCTAAACTGTGAAATCTTTAAAACCAAACAGGTTTTCACCTTTTAAAATAAGTAACCTGAACTGCATAAAATGCAGTCTGTTGAGGTCATCACTTTCGTTAAGCATTAAATAAATAGATAAATAAAAATTCACTTTCACATAGAAAGAGAAACTGTTGAACAGTGTAGCTTCCAATGCTAATATCTATATGCACTTTCACTATATGTATAAAAAGGGTACCATATACACATAATAAATTTGTTACTATATATTATGTATACATAATAAAGTACATTTGCTTCATATAGTATTTTTAGTACTCTTCGGTGTGTATAATGCGGGGTTCTGTTATAATAAAAAGCGTATCCTATCTTAACACTTGTTTATTTTAAAAGTAACCTGGACTGCATAAAATGCGGAAAATGTGGGAATCATCTCGTGTCCACAGAGTGAAGCCTGGGCCACGAATGGCATCACCTGAGAGGTTTTCAGAGCTTCCTCCGTGCAGTCCCCTCCCCAGTCCTCTGAAATCAGTCTTCCTTTCACAGTGTCCTCAGGGATTTGTGTGCAGAGTACAGCTGAGAATCCCTGGTCTAACACAGAAACCTCCTTCGATCCTCTACCCAGAGACAACCACTATCAATATTTTCTAGATTTCTAGCAAAATATTTTCCATTTTTATCTTTCAGTTTGTCTTGGAATTCTAATTTTGTTAAGTTTCTGACCCATTCCACTTCTTAAAAATATTCTACTTAGAGTGCTAACTATGATTTGAAAATAATCAATTTTAGCTCTACTAACAAATATTTATTTTATGTAGCCATTGTAATTAATTTGAGATGGACCTCCATTTAAATTCAAGAAATGTGTTCTGTGTCTGAAGTTACTAACAATGATTATTTAAAATCTACCTCCTCTTGAATCCTATTTCTTTCAGGCTATAAAACTTATATTTCTTTGTACTTGTTGTAGATTCCTTTTTTTCCTACATTATCAACTTAATTTGAAAGTAGATTTTCCTGAAAAAGTAGCTTAATAACTGTTATGTGCTAGGGTGTTCTATATTCTAAGACCTCTAGCAACTGTTTTACATTTCTTATTAAATCATCACACTTAACCCAATCAGACAAGGATACTTTCTTGCCATCTTATGTATTAAGAAGTTGTAAATTAAAAAAGCTCAAGTAATTTGTTTGATACTATAGGGCTCAAAAGTACTAATAGTTTGTGGTTCAAAATAATGATAATGAATATTATTCTGGTGTTTTAAATGTTTACATTAACAAACTTATAAAATTCCATTTATTCAGCTTATTCCTATAAATTTGCATGTTAACTAACTACACCTCTCTGAATAAACAGGAAAAAGGGCAGAAGGGAAACAGCGGACACTCCTGTTCTGAGGCCACAGATAAATTTACATGCAGAAAAAGTCACCCTCTAAAACACCACAGAAGTATGAACGTGGCCACTATTACACTGAAGTGGGTACAGAAAAAGTCACTGACCTGGGCTACAGGTGCAATGCAGCACTATAGTACATGTATAGCATACTGGAGGTCCTGGGGTCAACCTCCAACACACACACACACACACACACAAAATTAATCTAACACTAGAAGATAACTCTGTAAATGAAAACTGTAAGACCAAAGCTAAAAGAACAGGATATAAACACAGAACTGTAGTTAGTAAAGATATTTCCCATAATAGAGTAAGTTATTAATTCTGAAATTGCTGTACCATTAAACTAGGATTGAGTATATAACTAAAAGACAGATGGTGAGTTCCAGCATTTATACTGTGTTCATTTGCTTTTCTTGTTGCCAAGACAAAACACTTGACACCCACAAGTTAAGGGAAGAAATGTTCATTTGGCTCACAGTGTGTAGAGGTTTGGCCCATAATTGGCTGGCTCCAGGGCAGGGCAGCATGTAGCAGACAAGCATTGTACAGAAACAGCTCATGGCAGGCAGAAGGCGGCAAAGCAGGCAAAGGAGAACACAGGCCTCTTCTGTTCCTTATTTTGTATCCAGGTACCTGGGATAAGGATGGTGTCAAACCTATCAGTGGGCCAATTTAATAATCACCCACCCTTAATCCTAGCATTGCACCATGAAACAATCACATACTCCAGATTTAGCCACCTCTGAAAACAGCCCAGCTGTGACTGCATGACACATCTAGACACAAGCCATAATACACTGTTAATGAAGGAGTTTACAGACATAAGTAAGGGGGAAAGCTCCAACGACCCAACGATACTGGATTAGACTCAGAAACATCGTTACAAATTCATACTCTGCATAATACAGATACAGACGGACAGATATAACTCTAGATGTGTGCATACATGCATCAGTAGATAAGCACATGTGTCTTAGCTCTGTTCACTAAAGGCCTGGAAGCAATACCACCCAGTAACTGTGAATTTACCCAGAATCCATACACTCATTTCTAATACCACTCTCCAATAAAGGAACCATGTCTCCTTGTAGAAATGGCTGATTTGGGAACAAAGGCAAGGAAAATACAAGAAAAAAAAGGAAAATACAGGGGCATAGAAAATACAACCTAGAGCATCTATCTTATAATGATCAAAAGTAAAGAAGTGCTCAAAAAGTTTTTTTTTTAAAGGGATTATGAAAGGGACATAGCAGCCAATCTGAAAGAACTCTCAGTGGCAAAAGCTGGACCCATTTGAGCAACAGAGAAAATATAAAAACAAATTATAACACAAGTTATCTTTTAAAATTTCCATGAATCCATCCATATTTCTGTGAGTGATTAAATAAACTAATAAATGTGGAACACCGAACAAGTCTCCTATGCAGAAGAAATTCAAATATGTTATGCAGACACATCTACCCCAGGAAGCAGCATTTGACCTCTGGATATATCGTGCTTCCAAGGGGAGGGGAGAAGAGTGTACTTTGCAGTGTAGAAACCTGGCAAACACTGCATTCCCCAAGTGACTGAGGTTAACATAGTCACTAAAAAGTCATGTTGGCACTGCAATGGATATGATTTGAACAAATTGCTACTTCACTCTTTACAAACCCAAAATCCCAGTTTAACCAAGAGGCAAACCTCAGACTAATGCAGCTGAGGAACACTGTGCAAAATACCTGATCACTAAGAAATTATCATGGATCAGAGGAGGTGCAGGAGATATGACAAATAACTAGTTGTCCTGGTGGAACCCCAGAGCCCTAGCAGAAAACAAATAAAATCCTCCTAACAAAAGTGGAGTTTCATTAATAGTAATGCAAGATGTTAACCATGGGAAAAAATGAATGAAAGTTAAGTATATAATTTAGTCTCTGTCTTTTCTTTGTAACTTGTCTGTTAATCTCAAATTATTGTAAACCGAAAAGTTTATTTGAAAGAAACGGGGACAGACTGAAAACACTAGTCCAAGGGTGTTTGGGAGAAAAAATAAAAATAAAACCCTTAACTTTTACCATGAGAGTTAATAATTTGAGAACCACTGAACTGTAACATGTAAGCTTGAGGACAATTTAAAGTCTCCTATTGTACTAACAGAAATGGTTTTGAAGTCCTTGCTCATTGTTCAAAGATATTTTTCTCTTCAGCTCCTGGAATTAATAGCAGTGTGCTCCTTGTTCTTTTATCCACCCCCATCATACTTTGCTGCAAACCTTATCATTGTCAATGCATGGCAGACTGGCTTTGTAAGTGGTTTGTTATTTCTCTGTTCCTGGCATCCAGTGTTATTTAAGTTCATTAAATGGAACAGTTTGTCACTAAGAGGGAGGTACAATCACATCCTTACCAAATCACCCAAACTTGTAGAAACATGGTTACAGCAAGCATTACAGTAAGATAATTAATAAGACTATCACATTTGGTAAAAAATTAAACTACAAAAGTAATGTCCAAAACGTTTCTTACTCATTTTCAGAAACTGTCTTCCTCTTTGATAAAGTTGCATGGCATGAATTATTATATACCTTCTACAAACACATAAAACAATGGATACTCATTTCTAGTTATGTAATAATAAAGTAACAACGTGTATGGTTTTTAAAAAGCATCTGAATAATGAACATAAAAATACCGAATATGTTTTTATAACCACGCTATGTATATTAAAATATAACTCATCAGCTAGTTATTGATGATTACGATGTACTTAGATGGAAGATAAGTAGAGAAACACTAGGTCATAAGATAATCACAACTAGTAAATACGATAATCACACCGTAAGTGGCCTTTTTCCTTGATCTTTTTATTGAGATAAGTAAGGACAAATTTGCAAGCTAAGCTTACCGTTTAATATTTTATTTATTTTACCAGGCACAGCGGGGCTCATATGCAATCCCAGCACTCTAGAAGGCTGAGACAGGACGATAGCACGTTTGATTATGGCCTGGGCAATTTAGGAAGACCCTCGTCTCAGATTAAAAGGTTGGGGATGTCAGACCCTCATCTCAAATTAAAAAGTGGACGGTGCTAGGGATGCAGCTCAACGTGACGTTCCTTCAATCCCTAGAGCCACCAAAAAAAATTTGTTTTTAATTTAATGCGCCCCTGAATTTTCAGGTTACCATATATATAAAGTGAGAGTATATAACATACAAGCCGCCTGAGCCACACACGCGGTAGCCACACACACAGGCTCTCCAGGTTCCTGCGGTCTCCTGGCTGTCCGGGTTTGCACCGGCTTGGCTGGGCGCGGAGACCTCGCAGCGCGTTTGAAACCCTAAATGCTGTTCCCTTGACTCTTGCAGACAATCGTGCGAGGACACAAGCCCTGCCAGGAGAGCTCCATCAACGGGCTGCTGGAGGACTTCGACAGCATCTCGGTGACGCGCTCCAACTCGCTGCGCAGGGAGAGCCCGCCGACGCCGGGGCCGGGGCTGGGGCAGGGCGCGGGCCGCGCCGCCGAGAACGGCTTCCCCAGCTGCTCGCGCTACTCCAGCGAGTCGGACCCCGCGGACGGCGCGGCGCTCTACGCCGACGAGCTGCTGGACGCCTTCCACCGCGGCAGCCCCGCGGCCCGGCAGAACGGCCACGTGCCGGGGCCGCCGTCCGCGCCACCGCGCCCCGCCGACTGCCGCGCGCGCCCGGACGCGCAGGGCCGAGCCACGGAGCCCGGCGAGCTGCTGCGCTGGGAGCCGCCGCGGGCGGCCAGCAGCTCGCCCCTGGACTACGCCTTCGCCTTCCCGCCGGCCCGCGCCTCCAAGGAGAGCCTGGCCTACAGCGAGAGCGACTGGGCGCCCGGCCTGGACGACTACGAGCGGAGGCCGCGCTCCTCCTACCTGACCCAGACCAGCCCGCAGCCGGCCATGCGGCAGAGGTCCAAGTCCGGCTCGGGGCTGCAGGAGCCCCTGCTGCCGTTCGGAGCAAGTGCATTTAAATCCCACCCCCAGGGCCACTCCTACAGCTCCTACACCTACCCTCGCCTGTCCGAGCCCACCATGTGCATTCCGAAGGTAACTGCCCCCGTGTCCTGCTGCCTCCAGCGGGTCTCAGGTCGCGCGCAGATTCCTACTGCTCCTTTGCCTTTTTATTTTACTGATCTCATCCTAGGGAAGTACTCTCGAACTGCTTGAGTTACACCTCCAGCCCTTTAAAGAAAATGATTTTGAGACAGCTGAGTTGCCTGGGCACACATCAAAAGTGCAGTCTTTTTGCCTGGGCCTCCTGAGTAGCTGGAATTATAGGTGTGCGTATTGCACCACTATATTTGCCTTCCCGGTGATAATCCGTATCCAAAACTCCTCATATTTCAACCCACAAGCCCCAAGAACAAAGGTTTTAGAACAAGGCACGTCTTTTATTAAAATCAGAATCTGCCTTTTGGAATTTCCCACAAGGTTTCTGATTATAGAAGGCAAAGAAAATGTTCAGCAGTTGAAATATTTTCTGAATGACAGGAAAGTTTCATGTAGTAATGTACTGAGTTCCCTGTAAAGACTAGAGGATTGTGGGTTGTTAGATGGTCAACATAGGCGATCCCACGTTCTTCCAAAGTTGGCATGGCCTTGTGGAAAAGGAAAAAGATCAGGAAAATATGGTAACGTGTTAATGAAACTGGTTTTACTCGACTCAAGGGACAGTCCTTCATTCTGAGACCACGATTATTTTTGTGTCAGAATAATACTTTTTGTAAGAAACTTGGGGATAATACTTAGCCCTTACTGTTGCTGGATCATTTAGGTAGGCTTTTTAGGTTTTATTATAATTTCTTTCCTGGTTAAAAAAAATTATTTTCAGTGTTAGCTGCTGGAAATTTGGTTTGAAATTTGATTGCTCCATTATGATCTTCTGAAGTTTAAGGACCATGGTTGGAAAATCTTTATGCAAGGCATTGACTTTTCTATGAGGATCTAAGCCTTTTGGAAATACTATGGAGAGTTACAAGTGGTCAGTTTTTCCATCATAATTGAGAGATGTTTTGGGGCCTCACCTGTGCAGCAAAAGTGATCACAGGGTGTTAGAGCAGGGTGTATGTCATATAGCAGTCTCAAAGGAGTAGACAGACTCGATTCCAGCAGGGACACCATCCATGTTTGCACTAGACACTTTGCCCAGCCACTTGATGGGCAACACAGAAAATTCTGGAAGGCAAGTTTGCCTGTATATCTCTGCTGTGTTAGCTAATAGGATTGTTTGGGTTTGGTGTTTTTTTGTTGTTGTTGTTGTTTTGTTTTGTTTTAATATTTCTCCTAGACCTAATCCAAGATGTTTACTAGAAACCATTGCAGGATACCCTGGAAGTGACTTAAATTATAGAGGAAACAAAAATGCCTCTTGAATTTCTAAAACATAAAATTCAAATAAATGCTGAGACATAAAAGCCTGAAATATGCACCTTCAGTTACAATTTATGCAATCACAATTTTTTCTGTCTTACCCAATTAATGTATTTGAACATCCATGCTCAGGGTATCATGACTGCCTCCATGTCCTATGTTCCTGCACACATAATTTCTGGAAAGAAGTCTAATTAACTAACTGTCACACAAGTTTCATGGATTTCCTATGGGCATCACCCTCTGGGAGTACCGTGATGGAGAGAACCTTTTCAGAGTTCTAGAATGAAATAAGCAACTTGACTTGTTCTGTAGCTGAATCAAGTTACATGCTCAGAGTCTAACATTGGTGGTTGTTTTATCTAGGAGTAAACCTCAAATTAGGGCTGGGTTTAGGTCAGAGTCAGGAAGACAAAATGATACTCAGAGTGAGTGATCTTCCAGCCCTGGACCACCTGTAGCCCACTGTCATGGTTGACCCATCCAATATTCATTTCTAAATGAAAATTGGGCACTCGAGATATTTCACTTAAAAATCTCAATTTATGGGACTTCAGATTTCTCTTGAATAAAGTAATAGGATCGTCCTGTGTCCTTGAGCCCACATTTTCATGAAGCATGGGCTGTAGAATCATCTGGAGGTAAAGCCTGCCCCATTAGAAGGGGCATGGACTCCACAGTGTGGGCCAGGCCTTTCTTGACCCATTGCATTAACTGATTTTATTCATTTCCCCCTTAGGCTAATCCTAGAGGCATTGGGGATTCAAAATCACTACCTGCAGTCCCTGTTCACTCATTTTCCAGAGAGGAATGTGAGGGCCAGAGAGGCACAGAAGACACTCGGTTTTATAGTTAGCAGGCTGCAAAATAGGGACCGGAATCCAACCCTTAGGATTCTTCCAGTGGTGCATCTTCCTCTTATGACATATGGATTTTTTCAGGGTTCAGCTGAATTTACCAGTAAAATCCATGATACGTCTTAATAACCCCCAGAACCTGGGCTAGAGGATGAGGAGGAAGGAAACAGAAACTGGAAGGATAAATTTCTTCCTTCCTTTCAGGCTCAGCAGTCACGGCAGACTTGCCCTGAAATCTACTTCTACTATACCCAAACATAACACAGAAACTACTGTGGATTGAGGGGAGAGGGGGATACGAAACATCCAACCATGTGGATATGTGCTGAGGAGTTCTCCGCTCTTGTAATCAGGGTTCCAAAAGAGCAATCCTGCGCTCCTGTGTCCTAGGAAACCTACAAGAAATTCATGAGTAGCTTTTGTGGGAGGGCAGGAGGTGGGAAGTGTTTTAGTAATTAATATGTTTACTTGATTGAAAATATAACCCATCTCGCTAAAAAGCGTTGGGTGCCTATGTCTTTAGAAATGTATTCTTAAAAATCTACCAGCCACACTTGGATTTCCAGCTAAGGGAGGAAATAGCAATCACGACTCAGATAATTTGGCTTTGCCTCATGGAAATTTCTAGAGAAGGGTGGATAATGTGAACATTATGTGAACATCACCCATAAAAAGAGAAAGCACAAAACTCCTATAGATCTCCAGATGGAGCAAAACTGAGGAGGGGTGTGTTAGACAACCAGTTTTATATTTTGGTATAAAGAAAAATTGAAAATACCAATGTTAACACAGCAAAAAATAATAATAATAATTCTTCTCCAGTGTTATCTGCCTATGTAATTTTCCTGTTAGCATGACAGGAGTCAGGAATATTATATGAAATTTTCTAGAATGAACATCTTTTAGATATTTCATTGCTGTGTTTGAGCAGATGAAGCATTGACATGGGAAGAAAGGACAGACAAAAACTATATTCAGTACCATTCATGCCCCAGAACTCTGCCAGATAGGGGAGGGAGCCTACTTTCCACTCTCCCCTGCAGAGCTGCCATGCAGGGAGAACTGGCTGGCAGTGTCATCACCTGTGTGCATGATGCTGCTTGTTTGCTTTCCAGAAGCAGGCAGCTGCCAAGTCTTAGGTCTTGATGCTGGCCCAGCTCATCCATTCTTTGCTCTGGCTGCAGAGAAGCCCCGTTGTAAAACAGCTCGTCAGGCCCTCTCTGCATGCCGGATACACACTTTGTCTTGTTGGTCCTCTTATGCCCATTGCAGAGCCGAGGAAAAGAGTTTTGAGAGGTAGTGTAACAGCCTGGTCAGTCAGCTCATGGCCCAGCTGGCATCCCTTGCTCTGAGCTCAACATCTTCACCTCACACGAAGCACCTCCCCTATGGCGCAGGGGAGCTTCTGAAGGTACCAAGCCTTCCATTGACTTGCCTTCTTACCACTCTTTTTAATATCTAAAGCTGTGAGGCTGCATTAGCAATTATTGTTAGCAATTAATTCAGTAGTTAGGTTGCATCATCTTGTTTCATTCAGCAGCAGTATTTCTCACCTTGATACTCTTGGCATTTTGGACCTCGTAATTCCTTGTTGTAGTTGGGCATTACAGGATTCCTGGCCTCCACCCATTACATACTGATAGCATCCTTCATTCATAACAACTGCAATACCCAGATACCACCAAATGCCACACAGAAAATACAAATCAGCCCTAGTTGAGAGTTACCACAGCATCGCTACTATTCATCATGTGCTTTAGGGTAGTAAAGTACATGTGAATAGTTTGGAGAATGTAATATGCTAGAGTTTGAGTCCTAATTTTGCCGCTTGTGGAGTCAAGATGTCAAACTGTGCTCACATCTTACTAAAGGTCAAGATAGTCCTGCATCATCATGTTGTGGGGTTAAGTAAATCAATAAGTTAGAACAGCCTGATTGTTCATGCATGTAGTATACACATCACTCTCTGTGTGTAGCATGTAGACAAATAATGGCTATCATATGATATGCCTAAGCACTGTGAGAAGTAGCTTTGCAAACATTACCTGATGTAGTCTTCACAGCACTTCCAGAAGAATTCATGTCACCTGTTCTGCGCAGTCAAGGAAATTGAGATCCTAAGAAACAAATCGTTATGGACTTAACTTAGAAAGATATGGACTGAAATGGCTGGGCCAGATGCACAACTATATCTCTGTGATTCAAAAGTCTGTGTTCTCAGAACATTTCCATTTCTGTGGAAATAAGGGACAAAAAGGTAGATTTGATGAGATCGTTCAGCCTGGACACACATACACTGCTGGCAGCCTCATCTTGCAGGTGAGAAATGTGTGATTGGAGGTGAACAAGGGAATGTTGTTTGTTCTGTCTGTTCTTGGTAGAGCAGAACCTGGGACAAGATCCTTTAATACCACCTAAGCTGTGAATTTTGGATAAAACCTGAAACCACAGGCTCCCGAGGAAATATTATGGCCGTACATCTCTGAAATTCTCTTATATACATATTTGACCTTATGTGATAACCTTGATTGGTTTTCTTTTTAAAAGCTAACCCCCAAAATAGATGTTTTTAACCAGTCTTCTTGACAGAAGACTATAAGTTCTAGGATGAGATTGCCTAGATTTGCCTCCTTACTAGACTTGTGTTCTTGTCCATACCTGAGCTCCTTCATCTATAGAGTATTTTAGTATTTTCAATTTGAGTGAAGATGTTCAATTTGAGTGAAGATGAAATAAGATGAATTAAATATAAAGGAGCATAGAGCACCAAGTGATGTTAGCCTTTATTTCCAGTAATATTTCTTACAGGAAGATATGTCA